CATGCAACTGGCGTGCTCTCATGCGTACAGTGCGTACAACGAAGAACTACATCAGTTCCAGTTAGTTTTAGAGTTGGCCGTGGAACAAACTTGTGCTTTTCGCTCTCCCACATTCTCTGCTTCTTCTCCAATAATTATATGAACACTGTTCGCCAAAGAACTCGTTGTGGACGTTGTTGTGAGTGCGTGTCCGGGAGTGAGTTGGGGCGGTCGTGATTATCTAACAGTACAAAAAGCGAAGTTTGCACCTTTGCAATGTGTGAATATAGTGTATGTGAGAAAGGTAGTGGCAGATGAATGTGATACTGTGTGAATGAATGTAATGGTGCGTGTGTATTACTTGAAGAGTGTGAGTGATACAACGTTTTCTTTCTGTTTACATAGCACAGGGTCACGAGTACGAATATACACAGCTTCCAACACCTGCAATTGTTTGAAGAAACGTGCGCAACGAATAACACTAAACCAGGAATCGTCGAACACCTTACGACATTCTGGACTGGACACCAAATGCTTGTACACTGCAGACTTCCTCTTGTCAACATCAAACTCCTCCTCATCACTACTCTCATCCTCCACCTCCATTCCAATGCCGCCGTCCATCCCATCGCACTCGTATTCGTCAAACAATTGCAGGTGTTGGAAGCTGTGTATATTCGTACTCGTGACCCTGTGCTATGTAAACAGAAAGAAAACGTTGTATCACTCACACTCTTCAAGTAATACACACGCACCATTACATTCATTCACACAGTATCACATTCATCTGCCACTTACATTCATTCACACAGTATCACATTCATCTGCCACTACCTTTCTCACATACACTATATTCACACATTGCAAAGGAGCAAACTTCGCTTTTTGTACTTGTTAGCTGCTGTATTTCTACCTGAAACCATATTAGCTACATGTATAAGTGTGTGTTTTAGTTATTACATTTTTATGTGACGGCGTTCCACTGATGACAGTCACAAGAAAACGTTATGGAACTTGACTTTCTTCATTTTTGCTGTTGTTATGAGTGCACAATTTATCTTATTTATTGCCATTTTACGACTATTGTCTCCTCGTCGATTGTTTAAATTATCGGTGTGATTTTTAAAACGGGAATTATTGGCAATTTTTGTGGAATAATCGGTAAAATTTGAGCAATGCCCCCTTTTTTCAACTTTTTTTCCATTATACATGTAACACCTTGATTTGTACCAAAAAGCTCATGATCCTGAAGTAACTTAGTTGGTCGCCCGGTAAAGAAAGAAAAAAAAGCTTCCAGCCGAGTTTCACGCGAACCGTGATTTTTTGCCCGTTTTAAGTGGCAAAAACCCGTATGCGGCACGGTATCTGCAAAAAGGGAAGAAAAAAAAGAATTATTGTGAGAATTATTGGTGGAATTACGGGAATAATCGGTCGAAATTTTGAGCAATGCTCAAAAGAATTATCGGTAAAAATACGAGCATATTCCGCGGAGGCCTAGATCTTGCCGTGCACGCGTGCGCGCTTGAGGGCTAGCTGTGGCCTGTGGGCCTGTGGCTGGAGTCACGTGACCTGAAAGCACGTGCCATGATGGATTCTACATTGTAATCTGTAGTAGTTGAGGGTTTTCGTCGAGTGCTTCGGATTCTTTTACTCAACGAAGTAGTTTTTCAAATTTGTCTCGCTGTTTGGTCAGCTTAGCCGCAGTGCATGCTTAGCAGCTATGGCTTCTGTCAGCGAAGTATCTGTGCCAGAAGTGCCAGTCCACCCAACCACTTCCTTCGCGTTTCCTCGGCGGGAATTTGGGAAAAAGACAGTGGTGAAGCGCTCTTGTCAGGCGTCATATTTCAAGGCATGGTCTTGGTTGACCTACGATGAGCAAAGGACCAAGGAACTACAAGTTACACTATAATGTAAAACGTCAGTACGGTCGGTCAGTATCGTGCAATGTAATCGCATGAGCTGATTGTTTAGTAACTGGTGGTGTTAGTGGACATTATAGCGTAACTTGTAGTTCCTTGGTCCTTTTTACTTTTTTTAGCCCCATCCCTCACACAAACAAGTCAACAAAGAGGCATCTTTGGATTGAGGAGTGCTGGTTTCGAAACAACTGGTTTGAAGCTCAAAGTAGAGCTGGTGTTAGCTCAGAGCAAAGCTGGTGTTAGCTCAGAGCAGAGCTGCTGTTAGCTCAAAGTAGAGCTGCTGTTAGCTCAAAGTAGAGCTGCGGTTAGCTCAAAGTAGAGCTGCGGTTAGCTCAAAGTAGAGCTGCTGTTAGCTCAAAGTAGAGCTGCGATTAGCTCAAAGTAGAGCTGCTGTTAGCTCAAAGTAGAGCTGCTGTTAGCTCAAGGTAGAGCTGCTGTTAGCTCAAAGTAGAGCTGCTGTTAGCTCAAAGTAGAGCTGCTGTTAGCTCAAAGTAGAGCTGCGGTTAGCTCAAAGTAGAGCTGTTGTTAGCTCAAAGTAGAGCTGCGATTAGCTCAAAGTAGAGCTGCTGTTAGCTCAAAGTAGAGCTGCTGTTAGCTCAAGGTAGAGCTGCTGTTAGATCAAAGTAGAGCTGCTGTTAGCTCAAAGTAGAGCTGCGGTTAGCTCAAAGTAGAGCTGCGGTTAGCTCAAAGTAGAGCTGCTGTTAGCTCAAAGTAGAGCTGCTATTAGCTCAACGTAGAGCTGCAATGCTAAATGGATGTAATATAGCGCAAGGCAGAGCCGCAGCAAATAGCTAGATAACACCAGTTGTGAGAGTGGACCCGATTAGTGGGTACGATAATTGTGATGGTGTGAATACGTTGGATAGGGAGGGATGGTGGGAAAAGAAACACTGCTGAAGCACGATCCGTTGTCTGGAAGAGCACAACAGGGCAAGCAAGATTTGTTTTTCCTTTCCGCAAAATGGGCTGAAGCCATTTGTGATTACGCAGCAAAACAAAGCGCATGACGTCAGTCTTGAATGCAGTACAAAGCAATGCAGTGCAGTGTGTGCGCTAGTTCGGATTGTTGCTAACAAGTACTAGCACAGCTAGTACACCAATAAATTTAATAGTCCTTGGCTCTCCATCCGAGTTCATTCTTGCTCCATTTATTATTATGATTTTTTAGTTTTCTTCCTCCATGTCGTCTCTCCCTCTCCCTCTCTCTCTCTCTCTCTCTCTCTCTCTCTCTCTCTCTCTCTCACTCTCTCTCTCTCTCTCTCTTTCTCTCTCTCTCTCTCTCTCTCTCTCTCTCTCTCTCTCTCTCTCTCTCTCTATCGCGCTCTCTCTCTCTCTCTCTCTCTCTATCTCTATCTCTCTCTCTCTCTCTCTCTC